AACACCACATCCACCACCACATCCACCACCACATCCCCCACCACATCCACCACCACCACCACCACCACCACCACCAACAACAACAACAACAACAACAACCACAACAACCACAACAACAACACCACCACCAACACCAACAACAACACCAACAACAACACCAATGGTCATTTAGGCCTTCCAGCGTGGACAGCTCAGCTCCATGAAATTAAGGTCCTGGATGCCGTGGCCCCCTCACTGCGCAACACGCTTCGCCTCATCCTGCTTGGGGCAGCAGGCGGGGTTTGCACGAGCGCAGCAGCCAAGTCAAGTGGCCCATCACTGGGCAAGGTCAATACATCGGCCACACCATACGCGATGTTTCTTCTGCTGGCGGTCAGCATCTCTCGGGCGACAGCACCTGAGATACGCTGAGAGTGCTGAGACAGGGGGGGCATCCCACAAGGCAACCTCACAAAGTGGATACGTAATTAATGCATATGCATGTCAGCCGTGTGCCTCAAGGACTTGCGACTGGACCTGCTGGGTCTTTGGGCGAATGCACGCTGCAGAGCCATGCAGAGCTGTTGCGCGTGTGCTCATGGGATTGTTGCTTACGTGTGGTGATGGCAGGTGAACAGCAAAGGGGACAGCAACGTTGTCTGCACCCAAGGATCATGAAGAAGGGTTTACTGAGCCCGCTTCAAATGTCCCAGCCAGGCGCACATTCATCCTGGGTTGCTCTCCGGTGTGCTTTATCTACAAGCTGGCGCAGACCAAGGCGGTTAAACGTTGTTTTCGCTTCAGCCTGGGATCTCCATTCGCATGTCAGGTGCTACCATTTGCTTTGCAGATCCGCGCGCCTCTGCAGAGGTGCTCCCATAGCTGAGCGAGAGTCGATGGCTATGAGTCGTCTTCAGCAGCCAGGGCTCCGAAATGGGTCTGGAAAGCTTGGAGAAGCTGAGAGCCTGTTGCTGGCCCAACTTCTCGCGGCACAGGTGAGAACTTGTCTTTGTTCAGCTTTGTCACCGAGGTGATTCACTGGAAACCACATCCGGTGCTGGGATCCAGGACTTCGTGCGCAAACTTGAATCCTCGAGAGAGGTGTGATGCCTGAACAGGGCTTAAAGGAAGGAGACCTTCTGCTCTTCCCGTCTTGGTAGGAGCCCTGTCTGCACCATATCAGTTCATCTTGCGCTTACCTGCCGAGCACAGGCTGCAGCACTATGTCCCCCCGCACACCGGCACAATGCAACGCATCAGGCTTGCTTACGACATCTGAACAAGCAGCCCAATTGAAAAGATACTGTGATGCAGTTTCATACATTGACACGGCACATTGCTTTGCCATCTTTTGGCGCCAGCCTCTCCTTCAACCTGAATGCGCGCATCATCAGTGGGCGCGGAAAGCTCCGGTTCTCCAACGAAGATGTTCGGGACACAGAGGGCGGAAGCGCGTTGAGTCATGTTGCAATTTCTGCATAACTTCAAGTGGGCAAATTTTCACGACACGTGCTCATACGCTTTTCACGCATAGTTTCTTTTTCAGGGAATCAGTCGAACAGCCCTTTAGGGATGGCAGACATGACTGCCCAACTATTCCGAGCTGACCGGTCGCTGGTAAACATTCCTGCAGGCTACCGGGCGAGACAGCTTGAGTATTTAGGGGCCTGGCCGCCACCAGTTGCTATGCCACGTTGGGAGACGCAGGACGAGCAGTTGCGATGTCAACTACAGGCGCTTGGCTGTAAGCGGCGGCAGTGGCAACGGGCGGCGGGCAGCAGTCGGCGCCGGTTGGAGTGTGATGGTGCTTCCCTAAGCCACAGGCAAAACGGAGGTTGCCATGATGCAGGGCAATGGCTGCAGAAGCAAGTGCGGCCACTCTATAGCGCAACATACCCAAGGACGCGCCGCGCACTTTCTTAGCTCCGTGCCGAGCGGCAGCTTTCGCGCACAGCTGTGAATTTGAAGTGTCTTGACCCTGGCGCCGAGATGCCGACTTTGCAGGCAGCAAAGGTGTGGCTGCAGCTAGCAGCTATAGGGTACCTACCATTGGGCCTTGGTCTTGCTTAGCTGCAGTAACCCTCGCGCACGCATTGCGATCGCTGACCGTGAGCGCCTCCGTGCCAGCGTAAGGCACCACGCGAGCCTCGAATCTGGAAGACGGCACAAACAAGACGAGCTGCAACGGCTGGCTCTGCAGCAAGGCTGGTTTTCGAGGAGACCTCGCAAAATTTTGACGCCTTTGCCGCGAGCATGTCGGAGGCCAGTATGGCCAAAGCGAAATCATTGGGGAGCTTGGCTGCGTGACGAAGCTGCTCGTACTTTGTATGAGGACCTCGAGGCTCATGCCACTTCAGCCTGCCCTCGCGGTCTAAGCGCGAGTCAGACCAAGCAGCAACATTATTAGGCGGACAAACTGGGAAGAGGAAGCCCATGTCATGTAGAGACATATTCAAAACGACCTGCTGTTCGGAAGAAGAGTACACGACCGCACAGGAAAATCCAAGTATAGAAACATCTCATATTGAAACATCTTGAAACAATGCGTTGCCGTACAAACAGAGGAACAGCATAACAGATACATCTTCAGAATATTCAGAAGAAAAGCATAATGCCTTAAGCTGCTCTGCACCTTACGATCGCTCTAAGCCTCTAAGCACAGTAACAGAGAAAAATCCAAGAAGAGACAGATGATCGTCGCAATCGCCCGCTCCTTGCCGAGCTGCGGAGTGTAGGATTGCAAAGCCAGCTGCAGTGAAACAAGAAGGCTGTTCCCATATGTTTCAATGATGACTCTGATTTGTCCTTTCGGAAAGCTTGCCGAGTCCCAGATGATTGCTTGTGCATGATCTCCTTGTAAGGCATAAGCATATCCTTGAATCCAAGGCCACGGTGACTGCAGAACAATTAGTTCTCTCCAGCAAAGACGGAGCTCCGCGATTGGCTTAGCTGGATCCAGACTCATGTTATATACATTTGAGACATCTTGAAATGTTCGCTTGTGAGGTCTTCAGCCGTTTGGGGTCTAGAGTTCAGGAGCATCGTGCTACGACTGCTTCCCTGGATATGCAGCATGGTATGGGGAAACTGTGATGCTAGAGGTACCCTTCTTCAAAAACAACATCTGGCAGCACGTTGAGGCCACGCATTCAAGTACAGTATGCGCGGCTCACCGTCATGGCAGACATTTCAGGACATGGATTGCCGGAACATGGGTGTGTTGCACGTATTAGAAGGCCAGTGGCTTGCGGAAGTAGACAAAACTATGCCAACACTCACTTGCGTATGAGAGAGGACCAAGTCGACAGCGGCCGCCAGACGAAGTGGCAAGCAAACACGTGCTGCATGGTGTCTGCTTATGTGCATGGCTGCTGCCGCTGCTGCTACTGCTGCTGAGCTACTGGTTTTTCTCCAAGCCTGTGAAGTCTTGTTTTTGCCTTTCCTTGCGTGAGAAGATTGGAGGCCTCCTGGCTGAGATCTTCAAGGGCAGTAGATCGCTGGTTCTGCACACAAGGCATGACAATGAGGCATCAGCACAGCTTCGCGCTGCATCGCGATTCTTGCACCCAGACCTGATGCGTTCCCTCTTTGGAGGCATGATGCTAAAGGCTCGGTCTCTCTCCTGACTCTGCCATCAGGCTATGTGCCGAGCACTTAGTGAACCCAGCGGTCGGCGGACATGCCTGCAAAGCGCAGTGTAAAGGCAAGCTTCTCGTGCGCGCCACCCGCTTGCAGCCGCGTCAGCAGTATCAGGGATCCATGCGCAATTCTTACTGATCGAGAACCCAGCACCACATCTGCAAGAAGAGAAAGGAGTGTCTTGCTTGCGCAGGTGCTCCGAGGTCACATCATCTTGTGGCTGTTTGATCCGAGGCCACTATAATCATCGTAGACTGGTCTTGAAGTCTTGAAGATCGTTCATGCCAACTGCTTGCTTGAAGGCCGCAGGTGGAGGTTGCAGCGGCCAGAACCCCACTCTGCAGCAGCATTGCCAGAAAATGAGACATCGAAAGCACATATGAAGGCTGCCGACTTAGTAGCGCGGAAGTTGTTCGGCCAGAAGGTTCGACTTGGTTTGAGAACAAGTTCCTGGTTCCTGAATAGATAGGACGGACTGGAAGCAAAAAAGGTCGCTTTGGACCTGCATGCGGGCGCTGTGGTCGCAAGCCTCAGCGTTCAGTGGCATGCAGTGGCCTCTGCTGGTTTCTGTGTGTGTTGTGTGTGCAGCCAGGCCACCTTCCCTGCTGTCGTGTTTTCCTCCCTGGAGGCTTTCAGATCTTTCCTGCAAAGCTCAGCACATCTTACCAGGCGTAAGCATGCTGATTTCAGAGTAAGTCCAGGCTTCAAGGAAGGTCGTTTCAAAACTATAGCGCAAGCTCACATGCGGGAAGCGAAGCCAGTGTCTTGAGGACCTGGGCTTCAAAAAGTGACAGAGACTGAATCAAGAGCTTGCGGATGCATGTGCAGATTGCATACGCATAGGGCCATGGCACCAACGGCTTGGAGCCGGTTGTAGCATGTTTTCGGTGACGGCGCCTCCACGGGCCCGTGCGTTTCTGCACATTTTTGCTGCTTCGTGTTGTAGACGATGCAGGGGGGGGGTGGAGGGGGAGGTCGGGAGGGCAGGGTAATTCCGAGCAGCTTTGCCTCACAAAAAGTCTTGTTTGCAGTGTCTTCGCACCATGATCGAGCCGTTTACTTGCGATCTGCGACGGCACAGGGTCTCAGAACTTGCGCGCCCAAACCAACGGCCAGTAAAAAGCTCCGCTGCAACAGCACAGGGTTTCAGGCACAGATGCCTGACTACGAGTGGCAAAGCTTGTGGCGCACGGCCACTGAGTGGCGCCGGTACTGGGGACAGTAAGTTCGCAGCATGACGCAGTGCATGGACCATTGTACTGTATGTTTATGCTAACTGCCATTCACAAGAAAGCACAACGGTAGCTTGGGGCAACCCAAGGCCTGCCTTAGTGCTAAAGCACACGGTGAGGGTTTTTTCGTAGTCCAGGTAATTTAGCTACTTTGATGTTGCCTATGTAAGCTTGGTAGCTACTTCGTGGTCCGCACTTTCCATGTACAATTGCTTGGACGGGTCATCGTTGCCAGCGCACGTCGCCGATCAAAGGTCCGACTAAACGGTAGTAATTTTTGTGTTGCCAGTGCTGAACCTTGCAACAACATAGAAGTGCTTTTGAGATTCCCAAGCAACTCAGCTCTTAGCCAACCAACTGTACTGAGTTTTTTGGGGGTTAGTGCCGAATTTGCATTGGAGCGTCTTTCGTCTTTGAGCGCTAAAATTGAGGTCCGTAGATTAACACACATGGGGGTGGAAAGCGTCCGCCTCCACTCATTCAGCCCTTGTTTTCAAGTTCTTCAAGGATTTAGTGTTCAATTGACACGTTAGACTGCTACTGAACGCGGGCCTTCTAACAACAGCTTACCTGGTAATGGTTCTTTTTTGCCCAAATGTTCAAGCCCTGCCCTCTTGTTTCCCAGCAGCGAGTCAGGGCCAGAGTACGACTCTCTCTCTCTCTCTCTCTCTCTCTGTGGCTGTGTCTCTTTCCTCAAATGCCATCCCGTTCTTGCAGGCTCAAGAGACCTCCACGGCATTGTCGTTCGTGTTGGAGTGAGGCCTTGACCCGGGACGGCCAAAGAAACCATGCGACTGCGACCTGATGCATTGCCCAGCGGCCTCTGCCTCTGTCAGGAAGCGTTTTCCAGGTCCACTGTCTGTTGAAGATGCTATTTGAAGTTTGGAGCACGGCCCTGGTCAGTTGAAAGATCGATGAGGCGCTAGCTTATGGAGCAGGTGAAATTGGACCGCACGAGACCACGGAGCATTACATACATGTGTGCAACACGCCTACGGTCCTGGACAGCACACACCTTTCAACATAATCTGCATGTCATTTACTTGCTAGGCGGCCCTGCATAAACTGACATGAGTGGTGGGCTGTTCGACAGACAGGAGCAGACAATCAAGGCAGCTACAGCAGACAGGGAACACTGGACGGACAGCTTAAGATACTTGCAGCCGCATGCCGGGAGCAGCGTCCAAGTCAGAGCCACAGGCAGACCCTGTGGCGATGTGTTTTGAGAGTCATCACTTCAGTTTGTTGGTCGTTGATGCAGGCTGTGGACATCAGCCGGTTACTGGCAGGCTTGCAACGTGGCCTTGTGCCAGGCAGGTTGACATGCCGTCGCAAGCACGGTCCAGTTGAGCTACCTTATTTGAATGCCCCATCCAAGACTGATGTGTTTACGTGGGACTACCACTTGCTGCCGCTTGTCCCTACCAGACTATGCGATGGAAGGGTGTGTCTGCACATCTTCCACTCCAATTCTCCAGCAGCAGAAAACAAGCAACTCTGCTTGAACCACTCTGATGCGCACGCAGTTCGTCCGGTGCCGCGAACGCTGTGCTCGCATGCGGCTGCTGAAAGATTTTGGAGGAGTTAGCTCGCATTCCAAGACATCCCCAAGGTGGACAAATGAAATGGAGGACAGCGCGTAAATAGCCTGTGAATAGCAAAAGATGGGCCAGGCTTGAGTTGTGTCGCTCTTGAGCGAAGCAGACCAGGCATGAAAGGCAGCAAGCTCTTCGTTTCATTGCAGTTTGGAGGGTGAGAGGGTGAGACCTACGGATACGTAAGGGGCTGGAGGGGAACAGTTAAATTTGCATGTCCATGCTGCGCAGACCATCATGCTTGGTGATAACTCTCTTCCTGCTGTAGCGCTCACTGCACCTGCATGGTCTTGGTCATTTTTGGTGATTGCCTCTGTACCAATGCGCACCTGGGTTTCATCTGTCCAAAGCCTTTTATTCCTCTTGCTGCGGTCCTATATTGTCCTGTTTCGCACCAAGTTGCCTCGAAACGGTACCCTCTTCAAAGTCATTTGTGCTGAAATGTACAGTGCCAGTCGTATGTGGCATTAGACCTTCTGATAAGACAGCATGCAGACTTTCGCAGGGGTTCCCAGGCAATTCAACTAAAGAGCGTCCCAGATTGAGCTGGCCACTCGCAAGTTTGGAATGCGGACAGCAAAAGTTTGATGATGTTCCTTGATTCACTCATGTCCTGAAAGCTGGAATGACTTTGAATCTCTGGAGAGCAGCAATGCTTTCTTTGCATTTGGTGTATGCATATACAACGTTACGTATTGGCATATAGCATGCTTAGTCATGGACGTAATTGGTTGTGGTGCTCGCAGCTCCAGAAGAGCAGGACCACATCACGGAGCAAAGCGCCGTGTTTAAATCATCACGCGAGGTTGTTTCTGCATGCGTTGTGGTAGACTGCACGTTTTAATTTTCAATTATTTTCAACAACATTGGTCACCACGTCTAAGTTTCAGATCAGCTGTTTTTGAGCAGTCCTGCAGGTGCTGACCATAGCGTGGACTTTCTATGCAACAAGCCGCTGTCTTGGTCTGCTCTAACACTGTCATCTGTGATGTTAGCAGTGCATGAAGCAGAGTTTGCAGAGGTAGTGCCAATCTAGATAACAGATCAGCAATTGAACCACGCAAACAAGAGGAATCAGGGCCAAGACGCTTCACCCTCCAGTCGAGCTAAGAGTTCCGTGAATCTGCCTTGTCAGATCTTTGCTTGCATATCATTTGCACAGAATATGTTTCAGGAACCTAAGAAGTGCTGGCACAGGGCATAAAACATCATTTTGAAAATGAATGGTCACAATCCTGGATCAGGTTCTCTGGCCTCATTGAAAGACTGCAAGCCGCAGAGGCAGGACTCTTGTAGAGGAGCTGTTGTCTGTTTGTAGTCTGTTTTCGATGCATGGCTCTGCTGCTGCTCGCTGCTCGCTGCCAGCGACTCGCTGCTCGCTGCGCTCCTGCTGCTGCTACTGCTGCTGGTTATGCTGCTGCTGCTGCTTGCTGTAGCGCAGACCGCAAAAGGCCCCTCTGACCAAGCCAGTTGTTCGAAAGCCTGTCCGCTAACAAAACAGCATGAAAGCAACCGACACTCCATCGCGACAGGACCAACACCAAAAAGGAAGCATTCGAACTTCTGCGTCAACGACATTTGCCTCGAGAAGCTATAGATTCTGAACAACACGTGCGAAATGAAGTTAGGCGGTCAGCCAAACAATGTCAAGCCAGGAACCCAAAAACAATCCGGGGCACAATCAAGACCGAACAGGGTGCAGCCGGAGGCTGACAACGTTAAACCTACGGTAGGAGGATGCGATCCCGTCAGCCTCACCCATACCCCGCCCGCAGCCCGCCCACCTCATCCCTACTGCGATACCTCGTCCGTGCCCCCCTGTTTCACAAGAGAATCCTCGTGCGCCCTCCGCCCCTTCCATTGTTTCAAACCAGCCACGGCCACAGCGGCAAACAACAAGTAAATTTCGCGACCTTGTTGCAGCTCTTCTCTAGAATGATGTGGTGTATTCGTTCTTGTCAGGCTGGGGAAAAGCTAGAGGTTCAAAGCTGTGAAGACTTGGAGGCTTCAGTGCTTCCTTCAATAAGTGGACGTCTGATGAAATTGCTTCTGGTTGCAGGAAGTGTGCTGCATTGAACGCGCTGAGCAGGCAACTTTGCAGTCAGAGGAGCTGAAATCAGATGCAGAGAGGACCGCGCCAGTGGCAAGATACCTCAAGGCCGAGTCAGCACATGGTAGCTTTGTGAAGGAGGCATCTGGAGGTTGCGACCATCACCGCTCGTGAGGACGATGAAGCAATACCTCGGTGTCTGTATCAAGGGCTAGTCTGAGGGCGCGGCACAGGGTTCGCCGGACGCGACTCCATGGGCAAGGGAAGGAGGGGTTGAGTTTCCTGGAATGTTTTTGGTCCATTCTTGGGGGGTGGGGCCGGGGCCGATGCCTCGGGAACACCAGCAGTTCTCAGCGCCGGGATTGGCTGCCGGTTCTAATGATGATGACATGTTGTTAATAGGTCCCGACCGCTTGCACGAAAGGGGTTTCGTGAGTCAGGTTGTTGGCAAAAAGCTTGTGGTTAATTACTTGGGGCCCTGTCTTGATCATAGCTGCTTTTCAGTGACGCGCAAGCTTTTGAAATCAGCGCGAAGACTTTGGCTCCGGGCTGTTGTGCTTTAAAGACCTATCTGAGGGGACTGGAACTAAGCAAGGGTACAAGTGGCGCAATGCAAACTACCATGGCCAGCACAAGATTTTGCCGGGCCCTTTCTGTGCGCGCTGCTCGAAAGTGGCTGATGCTCCAGCTCACGCAGTGTCTCTGGCGACTTGCAAAGTTCTAAGGTAACTGGATTTAGGGAACTTAGCGGTGCTGGTGCTGTGATATCATGCCTCAGCTGCAGGAGACCCGAAAAGTTGAGGCTAATGTAGTGGAGGCCTTTCGCAGTTGATGCAACTTGGTGAGATATGTCTAAATGTTTCAATCTGCAGTCTCACGAGAAGCTTGCCGCCTCCCGGGAACAGCTGGCGGCCTTGCGGGCAGAGACTGAGGCTGTCGGACCATCAGATACGTGGCACTAGAGAAGGTATGAGAACTCAGCGTCAGAGTGCTGATGTATGTCCTGGTGTAGCTGCTAGCCAGAAAGGCAGACGATAGCGGGAGCATGCCTTTCTTCAAAGGTCACCCAGACTTTGTCCGTCTCTCAGCGCAGGCCTTGGTCCAGAAGAAGAAGATGCTAGATGACCTCTGCTTCTTGTCTTCATCGTCTGCATGGGCAGTGCAGCTAGTGGTAAGAAGGTGCGGTCAGTATTGTTCATGCTCTTTGGCACAGAGCCTACTGATTGACTGCAAAAGGATAAAAACGAATCAAAGGCGGCAAAGCTGGTCATTGCGGGTTTATTTGCACGGTGTGTAGAGGTCGTAATGAACGCGCCCGGGTTGCGGAGACCCATGGTCGGCTCCGACGCCAGCAGCTGCCTTCGGCTCAAAATCGAACGGGTGAGAAGTTGTGAGTCTATCGAATGAACCGACAAGGCTGAGACCCCAAGCAGTGGACGACGTGCGGCGATTGCAGGCAGGGAGCATCAGCACCCAGCTGCTCACCAGTGCTTGGCTTGTAGCCTGTTTGTTCTGCAGGGCCAGCTGCAGGCACTCAATCTTCGCTGCGCAGCAGTCATCGCAGAAATTGAGCCCGTCTGAGTGTTCCCATTGCCCGACCAGACGTCTTGTCCAGCAGCACGAGAAACACACTGTTTCGGAAGTTGCTGAAGAATCTGCCCGTTGCAGAATGATGCAGCTAAGGATGGTATCCAAAGCCGCGACTTCAAGGAAGAGGCTGCTGCGTGTTTCTGCTTTTGGTGTTGCCACATGTTGCCACATCCAGAACTTATCTTTTGTGTTCTCAACCTGTGAATCTGAAGACTCCCAGGAGCGCTGTGCAGCAATCAAGTCTGAGCTTCTTGCTCAGGAAGAGGCGGCCCGTCGCCCCAATACGCTCCCAGGGTACGAGCTGCTAGTCACTACCTGCCAGGCTCGCGATATTGTCCTTGGCAGGGCTGCCACGCACAGAGAAGACCTGGACCAGGCAGGCAAAGCCTTTCAGGTTCAAATTCAGGGAGCTGCTGCTACAGGCCCTCTCGCGCTTGGCCGTGCTGCAGGAGCAACTTGCAGAACGCCAGGCCATTCGCAGTCCAGGATGAGAGACAGAACATGCGGGGCATGGGAAGGTCAGC